CTGGGGAGCGACACATAGCGACACATGTCGACACAACGCCGAAATAAAGTGGTCGGGGCGGAGGGGGCAGCGCGCTGGGCTGCTGGGGAGAGGGAGAGGGGTGGGGGACGACGACGCCGAAATCAAGTCGTCGGGGCGGAGGGGGCGGTGCGCTGGGGTGCTGGGGAGCGACACATAGCGACACATGTCGACACATATCGACATATAGAGACATATATCGACACACACACACACATATCGACGCATAGCGACACACAGCGACACATAGCGACGCACACATGGAGACGCATAGCGACACACAGCGACACAGACACATATAGCGACACATATAGCGGCACATGAAGGGCACAAGGCACACAGCGACACATATAGCGACACATGAAGGGCACAAGGCAGCTGAGGGGGAGCGACGACGACGCCGAAATAAAGTGGTCGGAGCTCTAGACACCCTGTGCAAGAGTATTAAAGCTCCCCTCTTGGTCGATCGATCTCCTCCAAGATTGCCCCAAGAAGCGCCCAGGAGGCTCCAAGAGGTCCCAAGATGGCCCCAAGATGGCCCCAAGAGGCCCCCAAGAGGCCCCGAGGAGGCCCCCAGGATGCCCCCAAGAGGCCCCCAAGAGACCCCCAAGAGGCCCCAAGAGGCCACCCAGAGGCACCCCAAGACGCTTCAAGAGGCCTCGGCGAGAATGTCAAAATCATTGATTTTACCTATGTTTTGGCCACATGTTTGCCTCCTGGGGAGAAGGGGGGGGGGGCACTGCTTCAGATGACTCCGAGAGCGCCTGGGAGAGCCCAAGATGACCTTCAAGATGGCTCAAGATATCCCAAGATGCCTCCAGATGGCTCCCGCGATGTTCCAAGAGGCCCCAAGACCGCTCCAAGACGGCTCCAAGTGGCCAAAGAGCTCCCCCAGGAGGCCCCGAAGAGGCCAAAATCCTTCCAAAACCTTAGGGAAATCAATGTTTTTGTCTTTCTCGCCTTTTCGCTTCCGATGGCCATCCGAGGCTTCAAGACGGCTCCAAGAAGGCCCAAGACGGCTCCAAGAGCGCTCCAAAGGATCCCAAGAGCGCTTCCAAAGGGCCCCAAGAGGCGCCCAGGAGGCCCCAGGAGGCTCCAACAGGCGCCCAAGAGGCCTCCAGCAGGCTCCCAAGAGACCCCCAGGAGGCACCCAGGACGCTCGAAGAGGCGTCCGGGACCGCCAAGAGGCCCCCAAGACACTCCAGGAGGCCTCCACTGGGCGACCCTTCCTCTGCGTGCTGCCACTTCCCTGATCGAGGCAATTCCTCTGGGCATCGTTTCTGGATGGGCTGGTGGGGATACTTTTTTCCTCGGCGGCTCCAAGGAAAACCTCAGGGAGCGGTCACAACGTCCGGGCCACGGCGCATTGTAAATTTGCGATCCAGCCGCCACTGTAGGCAGCTGACCGCACCTGCAAGCGGCTGGTGGGGATACTTTTTTTGATACGCGGCCCGCAAGGAGAAGTCCAGAGGGCGGAGTGACCGAGGCTGGAGCACAGCGACAGATAATTGGCGCGACATCGCGCAGAGCGTACCTGCAGATAATTAACGCCGCTGGACATGTGCCAGCAAAAGAGGCAACCGCGATGGCACCAGCTGAAGCCCAGGTGCCACCACGCGGACCCCCAAAAGCCGCTGAGCGTGTGCCAGCAGAAGGGGGGCGGGCGGAAACAGGTCGGACCCGCAGGTGGAGTACCGACTGCCAGGCGGAAGCGTGCCAAAACCACTCACTTGCCTCCCAGGGCGTGGGCCAGTGTGTAAGCCACCGAGGGGGTTCGGGCCAATGTCTGAAGGGTGCCAGCCAACCACAGGAGAGGGCGCCCGCGATGGCCGCAGGTACCAAGGCGGTGTGGAGCCTCCGCTCCCAGAAGGCCCAACTGTGGCAGGAGCCAACGTCTAGCACAAGCGTCAGGGCGGTGCCTTTGGCCGACGACCGTGTCCGCCGCGGGCCGGCAAGCGGCCAATCTATGAGTCCAAAACGCTGGTGGGGATACGCGAAGCGTCTAGAACTTGTTTTACCCGCTGGGCCATAACCCGCGTTATGCCCCCCTGACTTGCCATGACGTAACGCCCCCCCCAACCCCCAAAACGTCTCCGGCACTGCCGCAGTGCATCCAGCACCACGGTCTGTGGTGGCCGAACCCACACCGAAAACGGAGGGGAAGCGGGGCGTTGCGTTTGGCCCCCCCATACATACATACATACATGCATGCATGCATGCATGCATGCAGACAGACAGACAGACAGACAGACAGACAGACAGACAGACAGACAGACAGACAGGCAGGCAGGCAGGCAGGCAGACAGACAGACAGACAGGCAACAGACAGACAGACATACATGCATACACACATCCATACATAAATACACACATTCATTCATACACGCACATACATACATACATACATACATGCATGCATGCATGCATGCATGCACGCATGCAGACATACATACAGACAAGCAAACAAACGAACATACATGCATGCACAGCTACATTATATACAGTTGTGTTTATACATTATACATGTATTCATGAGGGCGTGTGTGTACACATATGTATGTATGTGTAGAAACGTATATACATTGTTTTTTATTTTATATATATATATATATATGTATGTATGCTGCTATGGCTCGTACATGTACATGGATACGTGTTTCCCCCTTGCACTTGAAAGACTTGGTGAAAGTGGGCAGCCGAGTTCGGTAGGCCGCCGGGTTCCCAGGTTCCCGGGTTCCCGGGTTTCTGGTTCCCGGGTTCTGGGTTCCAGGTTATTGGTTCCCAGGTCCCCGCTTCCGCGTTCCCGATCGAGGGGTTCCCGGGTTCCCAGTTCCGGGTTCGATCGATTGATAGAGCGAGATCAGTTTCACGTTCGATACCACTATCGATCTCACGACCGATCGCACTATGGAACTCACTGTCGATCTCACGATCGTTCTCATGCCCACACCAAATTGCCAAATCATCCATTGCTTGGGTTTTTTCTCTGGTGCAATATGCACATTCTAGCGAACAAATTAACTAGTTAACTAACTTACTAACTGACTGACTAACAGACTAACACCCGCTGTCGCCGCGCAACAAAACATGCACTCGAAAATTATAAGAACGAACGTCGGAGGAGCTGCTGCTCCACGCCCCACAAGCCCCGCTCCTGCGCCCGCGGGGCCAGCGGGAGACAGCTGGGCCCGCACGGAGGCCTCGGCGGGGCGCCCGGGCCACGGAGGAGAGAGGGAGGAGGGAGAGGGAGGAGCGAGGAGGGAGGGAAGGGGGACGGGGGGGAGGAGAAAGGATGAGGGAAGGGTGGGGCAAGAGGGAGGGGTGGGAGGGAGGGGGGGGAGAGGGGAAGGCGGAGGAGGACGGAGAGAACGGGGGGAGGAGGAGGAGAAAAGGGAGGAGGAGGGGGAAGGGAGGGTGGGGGAAAGGAGGGGGGAAGGACGGGGGACGGGGGAGGAGGACGGTGGGAGGAGGAGAAGGAGGCGGGAGGAGGGAGGAAGGACGAGGAGAGGAGGAGGAGGAGGAGGAGGGGAAGGAGGAGGAGGAGAGGAGGAGGACGAGGAGGAGGAGGAGAAGGAGGGAGGCAGGGAGGAGGGCAGGGGAGGGGGAGGGAGGAGGGGGGGAGGGAGGGAGGGAGGGAGGGAGGTCGAGGCAGGAGGAGGAGGAGGAGGAGGAGGAGGGGGGCCAGTGCAAACCCAAGACTCATCAACGACGTTGGAATAGACCCTCCGTCCAAACACCATCGCCATAGGCCCCATACAAGAACTCAGCTCCACTTAGGGAAGTGCCCCGTTGGGATACACCATTCTGAAGATCCTGAAATGTGCCAAAACATCATTCCCATGACTTCAACGCCACGAATCAACCTAACTGTTGCGTCCTGGCGACCCTGAGTCGCGCCAGAATGCCATTCCTGGGACTTCAGCACCGCGAATCAGCGCAACTGCTGCGCCCTGACAATCCTGAATCGTTCCACCATACAGTCTCTGGTACGCTGACCATGAGAGCCAATCAAACTCTTGAAACGTGGCAGAGCGAGTGTACGCGGCGTTAAAGCGAGAACCACCTTTTGAAAAAGAGCCGTCCCATATCCGAAAAACTCGTGCACATGCGTTAAACAAATGCGCGCGGCGCTACGTCGAGAGCCACAGTTTGAAAACGAACCGCCCGCAATCAGCGAAATCATATTAGTGGTACACCGAATGCGCCTGGCGCTGAGGCGAGAGCCACATATTGAAAACGAGCCGTCCTCGATCCGTGAAACTCGTTCAACGCGTTGAAACAAGCGTGCGCGGCGCTGAATCGAGAGTCACATGCTGAAAGCCACCCGCCCTCCATATGCGAAACGGCTTGCCAGCGTGCAAGCCCCCAGCTCACAAACGGCAAGGAAGTCGTAGGCGAAACGCCCAGCCCGCCCTTCGGCCTGGCATCGAGGCGCAACAGGGAGGACTTCTTCGCAAGGAACAAGCATGGAGGAGGAGAAACAGCAGGAGGAACAAGAGGAGCAGCAGGAGCAGCAGGAGGAGGAGGGAGGAGGAAGGGGGAAGGAGGAGGAGGAGGAACAAGAAGAGGAGGAGGAGGAGGAGGTCGGAAGGAAGGAAGGAAGGGAGGAGGGAGGGTGGGAGGACAGGGAAAAAGGGATTATAGGGATTACAGCCATCGCGTAGTGATAAAATATGCTCGAGCAGCGCCTCCTAGCCTTGAACACCAGCGGGAAGACAAGGAACACGGAGCGCCCGAACTGGAGGATCAGTTTCACGAAGACTGCATGCCACACTTGTGAAAGTCGTATTGCCCATTTGACTGCAATACACACCACCCCCACCGCGAAACATGGCATGTCACTGTACCGCCAGTTGGATAAGATTACTTAGGAAAGGCATTCACCTGATTGATTCAGCGAATAACCTCATGTCCCCCGGAACCTAGGACAAGGAGGAGGAAGAGGAGGAAGGACGGAGGAGGGAGGAGGGAGCAGGGAGGAGAGAGGAGGATGAGAGAGGGGGGAGGGAGAGAGGGGGAGGGGGGCAAGCTAGGTGCGCTCGCGTCATATCCGACGCGGAGAGAGAAGGAGAGAGAGAGAGAGGAGAGAGAGAGAGAAACAAAAAGAGGAGAGAGAGAGAGAGAGAGTGAGAGACAAAAAAAAAGGGGAGGAGGAGGGAGGGAGCGGAGGGAGGAGGAGGAGGGAGGGAGGGGAAGGAGGGAAGAGGGTGGGGAAGGAGAGGGGGAGAGGGGGAGGGAGGAGAAGGGAGGAGGGGGGAGAGAAGGGGGTGAAAAAGAAGAAGGAGGAGGAGGAGGAGGAAGGAGGAGAAGAAGGAGGAAGAGGAGGAGGAAGAGGAGGAGGAGGAGGACGGAGGGAGGAGCAGGCAGGAGGGAGGGGGGGGACGAAAGGGGGATGGGGGATGGGAGGAGGGGAGAGGGAGGGAAGGGGGCTTCCAACGAGGAAGAGACTGCGCGCTCCTTTACAAAACGTCTGGGCTGCGCATCGGCACAACTACTAGACAGCGCAACTTGCATGTCGAGCTGCTCTTGCTCCAGCTCATATGTGCCAGCCTTGAGTGCGCGAACATCGGCTCCACTCAGAGACCTAGGGGATCTGCGCGACCAGGGGAGGCCTATTGCGACAGGAGCCAAGAGAGGCCGAGAACAAAGGTCCTGGCGAAGCTCATCGTCAGAGCAAGTTTTTGCCTGCTGTCCGAACTGCCTGCCGCTAAAGCGTTCAGAACACGCACGGCGCCTGGCAACTGCCTCTCTAGAAGAACGGGGGTTAGCGGGCGGAGTCGATCAGGAGCGTCCCGCTGAGGCAGGCACGGGGGCACCTCCTTCAACTCAGCTCTGATTCACCCAGGCAGTACCAGCTTTGCCCGGGTCAGAAAACGATCGTCTCCAACGGTTAAGACGATGTACAGCAGGTGGTCTCTCTGCTCCAGAGGTTTTGGCATTGCAGCACTCGTAGTCGAAACCGCTAGGCTGCATCAAAGGAGCAGGCGACGAAGCGGCAGAACCGTCTCTGGGGACAGATGCACTGCTCACATCAAGCGGGAAAGGTGGCAGCACTAGCGGAAGAGGCAGAAGCGGCCGTCCTCGCGCATCTCGTCCTTCAGCTGGACGCTCGGCAGCAGGCGGTGCGGGCGGCGGCAGGCGCCGTGGCGGGGCAAAGGTGCAGCAGCACCCAATCACCCCAAAGGAGGCGGCGGCGCAGGCCACAACGGCTGCACGTGCCACAGCGATGCCGGCGTAGCGCTCTGCCACGCTGGCATCCCCGACCGCGGAGGCAAAGGGAAGCAGGGAGCCTCCACCTCGCGCACTGTCAATGGCGGCGCGCACCCTTGCCCTTGCGAGTGGCAAGCTGGGCCCGAGCCGTGAGCGTGCGCGAGAAAGGGGCAACACGGCTGCGGCTTCGGCTCGAGCCTGAAGCAGAGAGGCGGGATGAGGGAGGAGGAAGAAAGGAGGAGGGAGGAAGGAGGAGGGGAGAGGGGGAGGAGGAGGAGGACTAGTGCAAAGCCAAGACGCATCAACTATGTTGCAAAAAAACTCCCTCCAGTTTCCTTTTTTTCATTGATCACTACCAGTATGTATATTCACTGCGGAAGGTGACCCACTAGAAAGAGAATCCTCCGTCGTGCCAAAACACCATTCCTGGAATGTCAGCAAAGCGAATCAACGTCACGGTTGCGCCCTGGCAATTCTAAACGGCTGCAGTGTTCGAAGACGAACGAGCACGGCGCTGGGGCGAGAGCCGCATTTCGAAAAGGGACCGCCCACCATCTTCGAAACTATTCGAACTTTCATGGCGAGGGCGCGCGGCGCTGAGGAGAGCCACATGTTGAAAACGAACCTGCACCCATCCATGAAACTGTTGCAGCTTCCTTTAGTTTCAGGATCATCGGTGGTGAAGATGTCTCAAACGAAACACCCAGCCCGCTTTACCGACACGTCTAGGGGTGCGACAGGGAGGAACTATCGACAAGGAAGATGGATGGAGGAGGAGGGGGTGAAGAGACAGGAGGGTGGAGGGAGAACTTAGGAGGAGGAGGAGAAGGGGGAGGAGGAGGAGGAGGAGGAGGAGGAGGAGGAGGAGGAGGAGGAGGAGGAAGGCAGAGCAGCAGGGAGAAGTAGGAGGGGAAGGAGTAAGGGGGATAAGGAGGAGAAGACAGGAACAGAGAAAGAGAGAGAGAGAGAGGAGGAGAAGGAAGGATGAGTGAATGAGGAGGAAGAGGAGGTGGTGTAGGCGGGAGGGGCCAGTCCCGAGGCTCAGCTGGACAGGACTGAGGCGCGCCCGGCTGCCTGGACTCGAGCGGCTAGCGCCGCAGCCGCGAACCCGACGACGTCGCCGCCATCGCCCTCGCCGCCGTCTCGTTCTGTCCATTCGTCCTCCTCGCTCTCAAGATCTTGCCATGTCTATCCTTTCCCGGCCGCCTCCATGGGGGGCGCGAGGGGGGGCTGCAGCCAGGGCCGTACCCGCCCCCAAGCCCAGTCCACAGCGCTCCCCGAAGCAGGTCCTGGTGGCCGACTTTCAGGGCGCCGCCGTCGCCGCCGCCGCCGTCTCCGCCGTCGCCGTCCTCGCCGTCGCCGCCGCCGTCGTCCTCGTCGTCGCCGCCGTCGCCATCCTCCTCGGCATCGTGTAGACTCCGCCGGCCGCGGCAGAATGATCTGGCGCGCCCCCCCCCTCCCCCGAGGCGACGGCACGGAAGACCACAGAGGCCAGAGGCGGCGCCCCGCAGCAGCTGGCTGCAGCGCTGTGAGGGTGCGAGAAGGGGCGGGCAGACAAGAGCACCATCATCGCAAATAGCAGCCACACAGCAGCAATAGCCGCAGCAGTAGCAGAAGCAGTCGTAGCATTGGTAGTATTACTAACACCACGCAATTTCTGATAAGAGTGAGGGGGCGGACACGGGGTGGGTCGCGGGTGGGTCACGGGTGGGTCGCGGGGTGGATCGCGAGGTGGGTGGCGGGGGGGGTCGCAGGGGGTTCCCCGGGATGTCTCGGGGAGGAAGACGACAAGAAGAACAACAACCAACAAACAATCAGGATCCTCGGGGCCTGCTGGGGAGGGAGTTGGGCTGCGACGCGAAAAAAGAATTGATCAGGGCGCAGGGGGCACTGGGCGGCGGGAGGACAGCGGGCGGTGGCGGCGGCGCCTGTGGGGGGTGGGGGGTGAAGGGTGGCGCGTGGGGTGGGTGGGTGGGCTGCGACGCGAAAAGTCAGGTGGTCGGGCCGAAGGGACACTGGCCTGCTGGTGGACACAGGGGACAGTGAGGACTGGGGCAAAGGGCATCAGCCTGCAGTTGGGATGTGGTGGGGAGGGGGGCTGCGACACAAAAAATAAAGTGGCCGGAGCTCTAGACACCCTGCGAAAGAGAATTATACCACCACTACTACGACTACTACGACTACTACGACTACTACGACTACTACTACTACTACTACTACTACTACTACTACTACTACTACTACTACTACTACTGATACTACTACTACTACTACTACTACTACTACTACTACTACTACTAAAACTATTACTACTA